AAGCAGAAAATTTATAAATGCTACACAATAGTAGAAGTTCCCGAGTTTTTTTAAATTTAAAATAAATATTTACAATATGTAGCGTGTGTACAATAAGCAAATGTGATAATTACATACACAATAAACTAAATTATTAGGTATACAAGACTTGATTATTATGAGATGAGAAACTTTCATTTCATCGATTGAACCTTTTTTATACCTAAAATTATTCGGTAAATAATATAATAATATATGATATTATGATTGTACTCAAACTTAATACTTATTAGTTACCTAATAATGTTTTGATTTCAATATTATAATAAATATTAATATTTCACACACTTAAGTCCTGCAGTCACTCTAGCAAACATTTTGCTATCTATATGTTATTTATATCAATACATATTATTATATTGAGCGATAAAAACGCAATCTACCATATAGTATATAATTTATAGGTGGGCGGATTTGGTTCAGTCAAATAATTTATTCGTTATTAAAATATGTTAATAATAAATATACATATCATTGATAAAATTTCAGCCATTTTCTGTCAGATTTTAAACTTAAGATTGGTGGAAAACATAAAAATACATTTCTTAGACGGTATTATATTATATAATGTTGAAACATTGAATGATCCTTTATTTGTTCATGAATATTTTTAGGGTATTTATTAATTCAATCAAAGATTTTGGACTTAAATAACGAATTCTTGGCCGATGTATTCTATTTTGCATGTAAATAATATATATATAATATAAATAATACTCTATATTCTTAAGTAAATTTACTGAAATATCGACTTTAGGAATTTTTTTTTTAAATTTAAAACAATAAGCATATTTTTTATATAATAGATTCACTAAAGTCACTATACACATGGCGCGTGACAGTCAACATTCTACGTAATACCGAAAATACGAACGAAAAAAAAACAAATAGTTTAAACAAGTATTGTTGTTAATTCAATATGAAAAAATAATTAATATTATTACGTAACATTAAAATTTGAATTTATTCAAACGTGACTGCTTGTTTATTTTAGTTACTGCAGGGGAGCGGGAATTAGGTCTTCTTCTCTCGTAACCACCGCCGCGCCGGCTCGGTTGTCCAGTGTATCCGCACTCCTGCAGAGTTTAGCGTCGTGTGTCTTGTTTTGACTTAAATAACAAAAAAAAAATAAACAAAACACGATGGAAGAGCATCGGTTTGCCCAAGAGTTTCAGTGCTCACCCAAACTGACAACTCTACAATAATAATAATAATAATAATTAATAATATCGTTGTGGAGTCGGACGGATATTATATAGGCTGATGCTTTCTTCGCATCGTGAAACCCACGCAGACTTGACTTAAATTCTCCAAATACTACAGCGACTATTGTCATTAGAATCTATTTGAGTATGATTGTTAGTTTCTTATTGTTGTGTTGTTGTTTGATCGTTGTACGCAAACGGAGAATGCTGTTTAGGCCGCATTGTCACATTGATATTGTCTTTACAAGATTGAAGATATCTAATAATTATTAAAGCATAATGATTTTTATATTGTGTGTGTATTATTTTATTTGTTTGCTGTTTGTGCAGATATCCGACTACATAGGCCATTTAACATCAAGTAATAAATTAATCGTATTTCTATAAAATAAAAAAAAGAATGTTTTAAATGTTCAACGCCGCTGTAAGTGTCATAATTTATTTAATATAATGCTTTCTTTTTTTTCACCGTTTGTAGTTTGAAAGAGATGGCACGTCATAAAAGCATGTAGACGTTCATATGCAGAGTATCATCGTCTAAAAGTAATAAAGAACAATATTTTTAACTCACGCAATGATATAAAATTATTGAAAACCATTTGTTTACTCATATGAAGCCCATGTAATTAAAAATAATAACACTCGTATATATAATACTTGTACTCAAATAATTTTTTATGTTTAAGTACGTGTATTAGTTATCATTAAAACCATCACATTATCTGATCATGCTTTATAAAGCATATCTCAACGAAGTCATTATATAGAAATTCTCTAAAGTAATATTACGTCCAAGACGTTCCAAAATCCGGAGAATTTATTATAACTGAAATATGTTGTTCTCCTTGATATTTCGATCGCAGTTGCTAATTCTAATTTAATATTTTAATTATAAAATATTATGATGATATGATATAATATTAACACGCATAAGTCGACTAGGGAGCAGAACCACCTGTTCATCTATAAAAAGCAAACATTATAACGAATATGTATAAATACATATATACTATAGAAGAATCTTTATAATTTAAGTATTTTACTGATTCTACCGATGAGTGATGTACAATTTGATTTTCCTTATTTCTCAATTCTAGTATAGATAGTCTGAAGTAGTGGTATTTAGTCCACTTTCGGCCCATATTAAACCCAGGTCATAAGTAGTTAAAGTTTTGATAAGCGGAGTGGAATAATAGWAAAGCGATACCTCACAAAGTTTTGGTTTGTAACTGGAGCTAAAAGTCGTACATAATTTATAAATACTCATAAGTCATAACTAATTAAATAAACTATTAGTTAAAAATTATTTATATCATCATTCACATAAAATGTATTTTGCTTTAGAGTTTGAAATTAAGATTGCATGTGTTGTTGTTTAAAAAAATAATAAGTTTTTCAAGAGTGTTCTATCGCAATGATTCACAATAGATATTAAATCAAARTTATATGAGAGAAAAATCTTTATTCTTTTATGATAATAAGTGTTTCATTTTAAAAGAGTCATCCAGTAATTGAGATACCCAAAAGATGAATTCTATATAAGAAAATGTATTATATTGTATGGCTTAGTTGTTCAAATATAATTGAATTATTGAATACCTATGTTGCTTTAAGAC